AGAAGTGGTACAGGCAATGGGCTGACAACACGACCGCCAGAGGCGTCTATTCGAACTTGCCTACTCCTAGCAAACAAGACCCATGGTGGGGGTTAGGTCGTAGAGTGCAGAGTTTAGTAACGCAGATGCGCACCGAGCACTGCCCCCTGCGCACATACTTCTGGAGGTTGGACAACAACAGAGATCCTACCTGCCGGCACTGCAGCCTGGCCCCGGAGACCTTAGAACATCTGTTGACGGAGTGTCCCGCACTAGATCTCCCGGGGGAAGCCAGGGCGGTTGGAGGATCCTTTGTGAGGGACATGTTGTATGGCTCAGCTCAACAGATGGAGTTGATAGCCAATTTACTAGCCGGGGTCATAAGAGAGTAATCTCAGACCTTCACCAGAATATGTGCGTTAGTTAGTCACAATGATAAGGTTGAGAGATTGTGGAGTTTTTTAGTGTTAGTTTAAGCTCATGTCAAATGAACCTTGTTCAGTTGTGTTTTATTGTCAACATTTAATGTGCACATGCCCTGTTATCAAGCGTTAGGCAGGGTCGGAAGATATTTTAGAGCACTTTAATTATAAATATAATAAATCATTTTTTACAGCATGTTACGAGAAATTAGCAACCAGGATATTGTTGGCCGAGAAACACGTTTTTCATTTGTAGTCCTAAACATGCAGCCCAAGCGACTTTATCCATGTTCCAGGCATTGGATTAGCAAAAGTTTGTGAAGCCTGGGATGGCCCTCGATTTTGTCGCCACTGTTTTACGAAACCCAAATTGTAGACATAATACAAAAAAAAAAGCTCTGTACATCGACACTGGAGTATAGGACGTGGACCGAAAAGGCCGCACCAAAATAAGCCCCCCCCCCTTTTTTTCCAAACACCTTTTGGACCAGATCGCCACCCCCCCCGGCATCAGGAAATATACTCTGCCATGTGAAATTATGTCCATGTTTATTTGCACTAAAACACATTCTCTGAAGTCCTGCTATTTAGAAGCAAAGAAAAGAAGAAAAGAATACACATTTAAAAAAAAAAATATCAATTTCAGAGTCCAGTGGAAATAAAAGTCCAGACACTCTCCTTATACACGCCACCCCCCCCCCCCCCCCCCCCCACCTCCACCAACTTTGAGACTTCCCTCCAATCAAGAAACGGAAGCATGTAAAAAACAACCTTGAGTTTCAGCTTTTCATTTTCGTGAATATAACATTTGAGATCATCAAGTGCATAATGTATATGACTGTGGTAAAGGCACAGTGGAGAACCTTGAAAACTGTTTGAAGTAGTGGACACTGCCAGAACTGCAGGTAGCTAAAGTCAATATCAGGCTTAAATTTACACCAGTGGTTCTCAAGTTTTGTCAGAACACTACCCGCTTTGAGAACCACGAGTGTAAATGTAAGCCTGCTATTGGGTTTAGCTAATATTAATACGGTACTTTATGTTAAAATGCCGAGAGTCTTTTTCCGGGAGTTGACATTACCACATAGGCTACTGATAGTGCACATGAACTCAATCCCACGCGGTACAAAGATATCTTGGACATCACGAATGCAAGGCGAAGAGATGATTGATTACACAGGACAAATGCACGTCTTGTCGTGTTGCTTTGTTGGCTTCATCAAACACTTGGTATTATCACGTGTGAGTTCAGTTTTTTGTTCCTAGTGTGTGCTTGTTTATATTCTATACAGCTTAATTTGTGATTTTTTAAATAATATTTATTCCACACACGTATCATATGTCATATACACACCATAGGTCACATACATACATAATAAATATGACACATCTATAAGCTTCTCTGAGAGTGTAGCGTGAGGTCTGTAGTGTGAGGT